TAGTTTTTTGTTAAAACTTGATACCTTGTAAAACGTGAAGTTGTCGAAGTGGGTTTTGGCAATCGAAGTGTGAAGTTCATGTTTCTAGGACCGAATTGGGAATTGGGAATCGATAAATAAAGCTTAATGGTAATTAAGGATGATAATAATAATGATTAAGAAGAAAAGACTTAGATTTGACTAGATGTTCATGTATTGAAGAAATTGAGATTAATCTTAAAATTATCCCGTGAAGTTAGCATCTTGATTCTTGATGCTTTTTGTCCTTATTAACTAACCTTTACATTACACAAGGCTCAATGATCACCTCCTCCGGATCTCCCCATCTTTATTAACATGCCACACCTTCAAGTTAATAATAAATTATATTAATTATGTAATAATATACACGTATCAATTATAATATAATTTTTTTAATAAAATACATAAAAATACACAATTTAATTTGAATTCACTATGTTACTTCCTTGGCTATGCATTATCTCTAAGAATGAAAATTTTGTTGACTTTATAGAAATACATTTCTTCAAAAAGTGAAATTTTAAGAAATTTATGTTGAAAATACATAAAAAGTTGGCCACCTTTTTTGTTTTCTTTTAGAGGGGTAAAATAACATGGAAGAGTAGAACCAAGAAAGGGGTCCTTTGAATTTTGTGCCTCCTTTTTACACACCCATATATTATAAATGATTATATTCATCATCAATATGGTTAAGACTTTGGAGAAGTTGATATATTAAGCAATAAATAAATAAAAGAATTGTTTAATTATTATTATTATTATAAATATAATATTTGTGGGGGAGAGAGAAGAGGGAATCCATGTGAGGTGCTGAGTTATACGATTGATGTTTGAGGTGATATGCCAGCTATTGTACTTATTATTAATTGATTTTTATTTTATGTGTAGCGTAGAAATGTCGCTTTTTTGTTTATTCAATTAAATTATTGAAGATGTTGGACGAGCCTCTCTCTCTCTCTCTCTCTCTCTTTATTCGAATAAATTAATTACTAACTTTTATCTTCATTAATTAATCCTAATTAATATGGTAAATACTAAATTTTCTTCTTAATTAATTCCCTTTTGTAGGAAATATCTATTAACTGAACCCACAATTGTACCCAACACCATTGCCATTAATTTTTAAATTAAGACATGGGTTTGAGCATGTTAAAATTGCTCTAATTTTATATCCATGTAATAACACCACTATAAAAGATTAAAAACAAAATAAATTATAAATTTTGGGACTAAAATAATATTAAAAATATATAAATTATAAAACGTAAAAAAAAATAAGTAAGACATCGCTTTTCAATCTCGTTCTCGTTCTGTCACTAAAATTTTTATCTTATTTATTCACATATCAATATAGAATATGACAAATAACTGAGTTCTTAGTCCGTAGCAATCTTCGCGTGCTATATTATTGAGCCATCAATAAATAATCATGAATTCATAAGATGTATTTCAATAATTTAAATTTCTTTTGTAATTTGAATCTGACAAAGTAATACGGTTGAAGAATTTAAGGACTTTTATATCTATGTTTAAATAAATTCAAAATTTATACGAATTTTAACTATAGATCTACACTTATTTTAATTAGAAGATAATAAAAGTGCTATACAACATTATAAATATTGAATTCACATGGATTTGAAAATGCATTGTTTTAATTCCAAGTAAAATTATTATTTTTTTTCCAATTAAATTAGAAGAGATTTGTAAATTAGTTTACACGAACAATAAATTTTGTTCCTAACATCTAAATGATACTTTTATATTTTATTTTTAAATTTCTATTTTTTCTAAGAATATCATGACCCTCTTTTCTTTTTCATCTAATTACAGTCTAATATCTGTTTTTTTTTTTTGTGACAGTCTAATATTACTATACTTATATATATATACACACACACATAAACAAAATTAATAATCTTTTAGGTTATTTATTTCCTTTTATCTTGATCTTTTATTTTTACTTAATCTATTTTTAAAATTTAAAATATTTCTATTCAAAATCCCAAAAATATAATTGTCATATAAAACCTACTAAATTCATATGGAATAATATAAATTAATTTACAAGAAAATGAATATAAAAAAATATCACAAAAACTAATTATAACTAAACCAAAATCATAGAAAATAAATATATACCCATTTCCTAACCCTATATATGGATGAACTTGCATATAAATGATGAATCACATCTAGCTAATTCTACAAGTAAACACACTGTATATATATATATATATATTAATTATAATCAAACAGTACATATTCTCTGGTCCAACATATAATAATTATTATGAAATTATTATTTTTGGGTTGCTCGAGTAAGTAATTTGTCCATATGTGAGATTTAATTTATGCTAGTCAAATTATGTGTGTATGATGATTACCACTAACTTCTCATAAACAAGGGGGAAAAATTAAAATGTGCAATTTTTTTAATTTAGAATTATTATGTGCATATGCCATAAGTAACGTTCGTACATATCTATGTATATATATATATATATTCATAATACTTACATACATGCATGTAGAACATTAATGATCTACAGTACTATATATCCCAAATTTCGTCATTTTAAATTTAATTATGTCAATAAATTAACTTAAAGATCAAGATGGTGATTAGGGTATGTAAGATATATTTTAATTTTTATCTCGTAATATAATTGACACGTGGCAAACATCTACGTTTAGATCTTTGATTAAAGTAATAATTATTTTACTCATCAATGTAATGATTACTTCAAGTGTAAAGGTCTAAGGAAAATTCAACAATTAGGTTTCCACAAGAAACGTAATGATGTAATGAGGAAGGGTAAAATTGACATATAATTTATAAATACGTATATATATATATATATATATATATATGTATATGTATATGTATGGGGTAATTTTTTCTGTGTATCCCACAATGTATTTCAATCTTTATCTAAACATGTGAATCATATATATGTATAGATGATATAACTCCATATATATAAGATTTAGCTTAAAATTTTGGAGAAAAATAAAATAAAAATAAATTTAAAAAGAGAAGACAGGGAATATTAATTAGAAGAGAAAGAAGAAACAGTTTATAGTTAATTACAAATTGCAGGGTGTAAAAATACATAATCCCTTTTTCCATTTCTTTCTCTTCATCTTCATCTTCGACATCATTCATCGCCTCAAGAATTCTCGAAATTCCGAATCTGCCATTATTACACGCAGATCCGAAAAACCAAAAAAAAAGAAAAAAAGAAAAAGAAAATTAATTTATCCACAAGATCAATATGGCAAATAGTACCCCACGTACGTAGTAATTTTAATTAAACCCACCGAAGATTTCAGAAATCCGGCACGCCCGCCGGAAAAAAAAATCCCTTGAAGACGACTAATCTTCGGTGATGCTTTCTAGACGAGGCTGCCATTCTCCGACACGGCCGCTGTGTCGGCGCTGATGATGGTGATGACGCCGTTGGTGGTGATCTTTCCGTTTTCCCGACGTGATATCTTCTTCCAAGTATGATTTACTCTTGTTAAGATCCTCTCTGTTAATTTTTCTGGAGGGTTTTTTGAAGTTACGGTGATTTGCACCGGGTTTCCGCTTCTCAGGGACGGAAGAGGAGGGGATCAAGAAGTAGATGCTGCCGCGTTTGAGCTCGGAATCCGGCGAGAGGATCATGATCTTCCGGACAACACCTTGAGAGCTCGGCTTGCTCAAGACATGGTTAGGGTTAGCCTTGAGGATCTCAGCGGCGGTGACGGGACCTGTTATCTCCTCTACGTGGCCGTTTAAGTGAACTATGCGGATCAAATCTAGAGCTCCACAGGGAAGAACACAAGCCAAACAACACCTTAAGCTATTACCCATTATGATGATCTCCCTACTCTTTCCTTTTCTTTTTTTTTTTTTCTTCTCTGAAAATCTTCTGTGTGTTTGGTTTTTTTTTTTTTTTTTTTCTTTTCTCTTTTCCTTTTTGGGGGAGGACGAAGGTGACCTTCAAAAGAGTGTTCGGACAATGTTATATAGGAAGAGCCTTATAGTTGTGAAGACAAATATGAATAGAAAATTTTCATATTGGATTTGAAATGACAAAATTGCCCTTGATTTTACATGTTACATTCATATCAACTTAAGAAATATGTGTTATAATTATGTTTACAATCAAAAGCGAATGTATACGTGCCATTATGCAAATAAATTAAACCCTAATAATTGATTTTATAATTATAAAAGTTACGTGTTGTGGGCATCGATAAATTAAGATTAGTTGACTGTTAAACGATAGCTAATGTTAATGTATGGGCTGTTTAGTAAATATGTTAAGTGTTGGGGGGTAGAATATAAATATTATTTGAACTTACAAGTGGTTCCCACAACATGGAAGCAGAAGGGGGTGGGTGTAATCGCGAATACAGGCATTATGCAGGGACGAAACTCAATTATTATTTAATTAAAAAAGTGATTAAAGAGTAAAACCAAGTTATTTAAGCAATTTGGTACGGACATTTTGTCCTTTTGATCCTGCTGCCTTCCTTTGGTACTCTTCTCCGCGCGTGCTTATTTTCTGATATTTTCTTTTTCCATATATATATATATTATTTCAGTATTAAATAATTTAAATTACTATTTAATCTAATTTTACCAAAACTACGACATAAATATTTTTTAATAATAATTATTTTAAGCTATTTAAAGAGAGAGGTGGCGTGGGCCACGTAGGGAGCTTATTAATTTACCCGGGGTGGGCAACAATCTTGGGTCACGGCGTATATAATTGGACCAGTCTGGATATGAATGAACACATGGACCTTCAATTTTCTGTCCAATTATTATTTTTTTTTAAAAAAAAATTATTTTTTATGGGACCTAACTATGCCAGCTATAATATAGTTTTTATTATTGACTAGTAAAGTTTATAGTAATGAAATTTTAATTTCGATTTTCAATTTTCTCATATCTTTTAAAATTCTAAAATTAAAAATTAAACTGATAATGAATATTATTGGCCGGTGAGCCAAGTTAGGAACTCTGCAGGTGATGTAATAAAAGTTAAAAATCTCCGAGAATCTAGCCGTCTTAGTACAGATGTTTTCTTTCCTTTTTTGTTACTTCTGACTCAAATATTATATTTTTCTCTGGCATTCATTTTTAATATAATTTATTTTATTAATTTAAACCATATAATACTTTTTATAAATTTGAGGATAGCTGGCTACTGAATAATCCATATTTTCGTAATTATTTTTTGTAATATTATAAGCCTATTTTCAGTCGCAAAGTGATTATATATATATATATATATATCAGGTTTATGGAGAAGTCAGTAGTAATTAAACCTTAACTGCAGCATATGTATATATACATATATATATATGTATATAAGATAATTACTTGGATATGGGTATGTGTAGAAAAATATTATATGATGATCTGAATTACTTGAAGTTTTAATTAATTAGTGAAAAATAAGTCACTTGTGGCAGAATAAATAAACAAATTATATGAGAAGTAATGTAATCAATTGTACTACGGTCAGAAATTAATTCATTAACTAGTAATTACTAAATAAAAATAATTGTATGAAGCTGACAAGTAATTAGGGTTTTTGTCTGGTCTGGTCTGGTCATTAAAACGTGTTGCAGATGAGGAAGACGAAGGTTCATGGGCAGTAAGGTTTCGGGCACCGACCATTAAACTCAAACTCCCAACTCACAATCATAATCATTAAACTAATTAAACCCCACGACCCAAAGATTCCTCATAGTTTCACATCTCAACTCAACCTATATACATATATATATATATATGTATATATATACACCCCTACAATTATAATTTACCTACCCTCCATGTACATTATACACGCATATATATACATAGACATAGACATAGACATACGTGTATTACATACACACACACATATACATATTTAAACGTAAAAATGAAAAGAGCAAGTAGATGTCCATAATTGAACAACGTGACTGAAGTCTGTCTTTACAGTAAAGCCAAGGTGAAAGTTGGATTATTAATTGATTAATTGATTAATTAATTAATTAATTAAGGATTGGGATTAGAGTATGATTAAAGCTTTTATAATCCATTTGCTATCGGTTCTTGTATACCGTGGTACTTGTCTTCTTTACTCTACTTCAATTTGATTATTTGTTAATGCTTTTGCTCTCTCTCTCTCTCTCTCTCTCTCTCTCTATATATATATATATATATATTATATATATTATCTACCTGATCATGTGATCAATTATACATACATACATATATACATACATATATATATATATAGCTGGCAACTGAAGCTGATTCAGTGAAATCCTACGTTAGTTAATTTGATTGGTTAAAAAGCTTCAACAGTAATGTTTAAAATTCTCATTAAAAATTCTATTGGAGTGGAATTAGTTTTAACTAAACTTCTCGATGTCTCAGTCAATTGGTATCATTTTTTAGGAATATATTACTTATAAATATGAATACATGCATGTATATATATATATATATATGGTGTGTAGTTTTTGTAGTTTAGCAAATGGAACGTTTTTCATGGACCCCAAACAACAAATTTTTGGTGAAATGTCATGTTGTAAGGACGGATTATAAGACTGAATGTATATATATACACACACACACACAGAGACATGTATATATATATATATATATAGAGCAAGAATAATAATTATTTCTAAATGATTTCATGTTTTCTTTTATATGGACCCAACAAATGAGTAAAACTTGTGGTGCTTGCAAAAAGAGACAATTATTCAAAGATTTTTTTTTTTTTTTTTAAAAGTAATTATTTAAGAATAATATCCAAATTAATTCAACTAATTTGATCACTTCTTGTCACCAGTTTCTTCTCTCACACATAAATCTATATTTGTATCCAATAAATAAATATTTATATATATATATATATGTATGTGTATATATAGGTTTATTTTAAGAAAAGGAAAAGACATATAAATTGACCAATCAAATATTTTTAAAAGCAAAATAAATAGTTTACATTGTTAAAAAAATCAAATAAAAGCAAAATTATAAATTATGTAATTGGGTAATAATAAAAATATGTACCATTTTATAATTAAACACATTAAGGAGGTTAAGGTTTTAAAAGATACACACACACACACACACATATATATAAGGACACCATATATATATATATATTGATTATACGTAAAAAAAATTATATATATGGCAGGAAATAATAAACTTTTCCCTACCTATTTGTTTTTCTTTTTGTAATTAATTTCATTTAATACACACAATTATATACTATTGCCCATATGTATATATAGTTGTGCATGCATCATATGTACATCTTATCTTGTTTTTACGTGGACAACTCATACTCATAATTACATGCATGAACTTGTAATAAGATGCAAATCGATACAAAATCTTTTTTTTTTTAAGTTCCAATAGAGAATCCGTAGCAGGTGAAGATATACACACACACACACACACATATATATATAAGATATATACACACACACACACACACACATAGATATATATATATAACGGTGTGATATATGTTAAATATGGTGCACGCATTGCTAAATAGCTTCTCCAAATCTGCATGTTGCAGAGCCAAAATTAATTTATATTAATCCCTTAAATTTATTATGTATATAAGCGTGCATGTTATGATAAAAGAGGAGTTGTTTATGTTTGCTTCATGTTTCTAGACATCGAGCAAGATTTTATATGAGATTTTAATTGGATTTAATGTTATTAATTTATTACATATTTTATATATATATATATATATAATCTGTTTAATCGTGTGGATTTTCAGTCAGACCAATTAATTTTATTCTTATAATATATCAAATTTCAAGATTTTTAGTAGCGTTTTCTTGTGGTTATGAGATATATGGTAGGTGGTATGTTGACCGTCCACATGTGTGTGTGTGTGTGTGTGACCAAATAATAATTTTACTAGTTTTACAGTGGTTTAAATCCAAGTTATATATTTTTATAATTTTTTTAATAAGTAAAGTTATAAATATATTATTGTTGAATTAAATATATGTATAAATATAAAAAAAATTAACTAATCAATTAGTATTAAGTTAATTTTTTATTGAATTAATTCAAAAAAAATATATTATTTTATCGAATAACAACAAGATTTTATTTGTTTAATATTTAAAAATTAATTATAGATATTAAAATCTATTTTTTAAATAGAAACTATTACAACCTGGACCCAGGCCCAAAGCTCCAGCCCGATCCATCTCTTAAATTCTAAAACGGTGAAGCACCAAATTCATATATTCATTACAACCAACTTAAACAATTTTATTTCAAATATTAAATTATGTTAATGTATGAATAATATTTATACTACAAAAAAGTATGTATATATATATATATTTAATAATAGTTTTTAAGAAAAATATTTAGTATTTAAATAATAATAATAGTAACTTATTTTTCAATACTTTATAATTTTCGTATTATTTAAATACTTGTTTACATTAAAAATATTTTATCGAACAACATATTATTTTTATCTCAAATTTGCTTTTAACAGCTTATAGCATAAACATACTCTGATGGTTGGGAACTCAATTATTTAATTTCAATGTTCGTCAACTTTTATGGGCCGTCTGATGGGCCTAAGTAAGTAAGGCCCAACTCATTATATATTTATCAATCTTGCAAGACAACATACACAAAGCTTAATTGAGGATTATTGATACCAAATTCAGCTTAAACTCCACTTTTCTCCTCTAATTAATTAATTAATTACTATTTTAATATCTAATTCAAACTCATTTATAAGGAATTAATATTACAAATAAGGTTATCTCGCGTTATATGTACATAGTCTATAACTCATCTTCACTGCGTAAACAGAAACCAATCCGAAAACTCTCATTTTATTACCCATTTCAAAGCATTCAAAATCTTTTAACTCAGACTCTTAAAAATCTTAATTTACATTAAATCACAAATAAATAATATAATTTCTTACCATCTAAGTTTACGTTTAGATGTGATTTACACCTCTACAAATAAATTTTTACCATAACTTGCTCCCCACATTAAAGAAAACAAACCCACCACCCTATAAATTTGCCCATGACTAAAATCCTCATCACTCAAAAAACAAAAATGGAAAATACAAAGATTGTATTGTTCATCACACTGATCACTTTTGCTCGTACACCTTCTCTTGTGTTTGGCAACTCAGAAAATACTAAACAAAATTTTCCAGCCATTCTTGTGTTTGGGGACTCAACAGTTGATACAGGCAATAACAACTTCATAAACACATTATTTAAAGCAAATTTCCTACCCTACGGACAGGACTTCCCAGGACATATCCCTACAGGAAGGTTCTGTGATGGGAAACTTGTCCCTGACCTTATAGCTTCTTTTTTGGGCATCAAAGATCTTGTCCCTCCTTACTTGGATCCTAGGTTGTCGGACGATGAGATCAAGACAGGTGTCAGTTTTGCATCAGCCGGCTCCGGTTACGATGACTTAACGACTATCATATCAAATGTGATTCCAGCTTCTACCGAAGTTGATATGTTGAAGAGTTACATAAAGAGGCTCAACAGCATTGTGGGAGAGGAAGAAGCAAAAAAGATTGTTGAAGGTGCATTGGTTCTTGTAAGTGCAGGAACAAACGACTTCGTTTTTAGCTTTTATGACCTTCCCACAAGATCATCCGAGTTCAACATCACTGGGTATCAGTCTTTTTTGCTAGACAAGCTACAAAAACTTATTAAGGTGATTTATATATCAAATATACCCATGTTCGTAAATTTATTCAGAATTGATTACTGACTAATATTTTACATATATGTGTGTGTGTGTGTGTGTGTGTGTGCAGAATATATATGATCTGGGATGCCGGACAATAGTGATAACTGGGGTGCCTCCAATCGGCTGCTTGCCAATTCAAATGACAATAAAATTTGAGGCCCAAGAATTTAGAACATGTATGGAGAATCAGAATTCAGATGCCGAATCTTACAATGCAAAGCTTCAAAATTTGTTGCCTCAATGGCAGGCTTCTCTTCCGGGCACCAGACTCTTCTATGCGGACATCTACGGGCCCCTATATGATATGATGAACAACCCTCAAAACTACGGTAAATAATAAGCTGTCTTTTCATATATACACATGTAGATATATATAGATGTTAACTATAGTAAGTATTTTCGCAGGATTTGTAGAAACAAAGAAAGGATGTTGCGGGACTGGACTAGTGGAGGCATCATTCCTGTGTAATACGCTGACTCCAGTATGCGGAAATCCTCAGCAGTTTCTATTCTGGGACAGCATTCATCCCTCCCAAGCAGCTTACTCTTTTCTTGCTAAAAACCTTACTCAAGCTTTCTTAACCCAATTAAATTAACTTAAATTTTTTTTTTTTTAATATAGTTTATGATAAATTAGTCAGAATTAGTTACTACAATTTTATTTTATCATGTAATTCTGATTTAATTATAGGAATAAAATTATATAGCTACCTTTCACGTTATATTATAATATTCTTGGTCTATTTTCTTTTAAAGATTTAATTAAACTTGGTCATTCATAAAACTCTGTTATATAGTAAATAATTTACAGTTTAAATAAAAGAAATAATAAATCCGGTATGTTGGAAGAACACGAGAAGATGACTTGTCAATATATAACTTATTAATTGTAATTTTAAAATTTATATATATATAAACGTGAACTGTAAAAATAGCTTCGGTTATTTCTTTTTCAGTAATGGATGACCGGAGCGCTCCACGTGCGTAAATTACCGTCACAGAAACGACTTCACATACACATTTACTTGCGGAATTTTTAAAATTCAATGAATAAATACAAAGCATTGATAGAAAATGTTACCTCAATGTGTATATGACAGCACTAGCAAAAGAAATGACGTACAACAACGTTTTCCTACTTCTGTTTATAATATTAAATTTTAGTAATATTTATTTGTATTATGCAGGATAATTTATATAAATTTTTTATATATTTATTTTAAAAAATATTTAATATATATTTTAATAAATTTTTATTTATGAAAAATTTTATTAATTTTTTTATAAATAAATTTACTAACATATTAGTGATGTAATATGAAATTACATAATAAAATATTTTTTTATTAATCTTATTCGTAAATATAAGCACACCGTCGAATCACGTAAAATTTTATTTTTTTTTATGTTTATTGTGCATGTTTTAAGAATTAATTTTTTCCAACAAAATAGTAATTGAAGTATAATTTTTAATAAAAAAATTCAAAACTATATCTTATCAATCAATATTTTTAGATAAAATGGTAGGAGACTCAAAAACTTAAGTTAATTTGTTCAGCATATTTTAAAGTTTGTTCTTTTAATTACTTTAATCTCAGTGTATAAACACTAAAAGGGCAAAGAATTTGACATTAAAAGCCTTTACGTGCTGCCTTATTTGAAAGAGCAAGAAGAATTCAATAATGGGATGGATATTCAACAATCTTCTGAGTATTTATCTCTGAGATCAGAAATGTCTGGAGGACTAAAATTCCTACTCAGCAATCTTTACAATCAGAAGCTTAAAATACTGCTACCTCAATTACAGCCTTCACTACCAGGAAGCAGAAGTATTTAAGTTGATGTTTACACTCCATTGATGGGCATGATCAGAAATTCACAATATATTGTAAAGCCATTTTGCTCCAGAAATTCTAAATTGGCTGGTAATTAAAATGAAATGCGTTCCGGGTCGCTTGTAACTCATGCTATAGTAAAAATGACGCCCAACTGTAAACAGTAAACGTCTGCATAAGCTAAAAGCCTAGGAGACCATGACAAGAGTTGCGGATATTGATTACTCTACTACAGGACAAAGCATATTTTATATACAGGATAAAGAAGAATATACACATGGCATCGTGAGTTTCTGAAAACTGATTAGAATATAGCTTCAGTAAAAAAGTGTTTAATCAAACCAAGCCATCGCATATCCAATTATCTTTTACCTAAGGTAGACTTTTAACAGTTTTTGTTCCTCCCAAATGCAAGTTGTATCCAACAGCTTCACTGTAACAAAGAGGATGGCTGTGGGTGCAGATTTGTAGAAGCAGTCTCGACATGTAACCTAATTGACTCCAACTTGCAAGACCGCTTCAGTGTTCCTATCTTGGGATTGCATCCGAGTAAATCAGCTCACAAAGCCCTGCCCGACAACCTAGAAAAGCAGTTCATTCAATCAACAACCAGCGATAAAATCATTTAATTTTCTAGATATAATTTCTGAGAATCTTCACAAACACGAAATTGTTTAGTACTATAAAAAGTTTAACCTTTGCATCACTGATTGTTATGCAATGTGGAAAAGGAACAAGACAAAAGTAATTTAGTACAAAAAAGTTTCCAGCATAATCAATATATGATTTTGCATCCTTTTGCAGTCACCCATATGAGCACGCGCAGATATATTGGCATACAAGAACAACTTCAACCTAAAAGACAAAAGTACCATGTGTGGTCACCACATGATATTTTCCCCTTTTGTTGGGCCTGCAGAAGAAGCTGCCACTAATAACTAATTTGAAAATAAATATTTCAAATCATCAATTTTAAGACACAAGTAAAAACAATAACCGACTGTAAGGTTATTGACTATACCTACAAACTGACTATGACTTCAGAAAATAAAGTTTTGTCCTCCTCACATGCTCATTGTAGAGTTCCTAGAATCAATCACTACCATAGACGTAGTAACGCGGGGACCAAATTAGATCACTAACAACTAATTAATGTCCCAAAACATAGAATACTTGATTGTTACTATGGATTGGGAGGATAAAATCACGTATCACTAATAACAACGGTAGCAATGCTTGAAACCTAGTACCCACTTAAGTAGGATTGTGTGGAAAGTAATTGATCCAACAATTATTTGCAAAAATAGGTAACTGGTTTCCCCGACCAAAGACTATGCTATGAATCTGATGAACGCCGGCATGCAACTGCACTGTGAATAGCCCTGGCTTTTGCAATTTAAATTGTTGACGATAGCATTTATATCCTAACCCACTTGAATAAATATTTCAGTTAAAGACATCTATATTAAAAGTAAGATGTTCTGATAATTTAACAAGAGTTGAAAACAATCAAGTTCCTATATGAGGTATATGCTTCTTTCAAGGATTTAAAGTTAGCATCACAGATTCGTTGTTGACCTCAACTATATGCTTCAGCCTCAAAGAATTCTACACCAATCTAGCCAAACAGAGCAAAAATTGGCTAATTTTCTTATCTATCAGTAGTATCTCAGGTGCAGTACATTTGGTTATACAGAAGTTAAACAAATTCGTGAACTGCTGCTAAGGACTGCATCAAACAAGCCTAATAAAAGGTTGCTTACCTTCACTTTCCAACACCAGCTGATCCAGTATTTCCCTGGAACAAGTCACTAAGGCGAGCCTCCAGATCCTCCACACCATATTTAATATACTTGTCTGCGTGCTTCCCTATCTCAGGATGATTCTGAAATTTTCCAATAAAGTTCCCATAAGCCGGTATCAAAAGTTTAGTCACAGAAATTCTCAACTCTTCTCGTAGTTGCTCATCATACACAACCCATGTAGACTGAGTTTTACAAATGTCTTCGACAGATGAATTGAATAACTTAAGCTTCTCTTTCATAGTCTTGGAGGGAACATTTGAGGCCGTGGAGCTATTTTCAAGCTTCAAAGCTCCTAGTACCCCGTTCCACGAGCTCCTCTGATAATTGGAATGATACTGCCATACTTTAGCAGTGTGTTTTCTTATCCAAACGTCACCAAGAAGTGACCCGAGTTCACTATCCTTCACCTTTTGAACAATGTACCTCCCGTTATTCATCATGAAAACAGAGCATAAGGCCGGGTCCCGATAAATCTTGGACTTAACCTCTAAATTACTCTCCAGCAGCTCCATAATCCAAGCCATTTGCATTGACAAAGAAGTCGAGTCCTTGGACGGGACACCGTTGCTCTCCTCGAAGATTTGCTCAAATGTCTCTCTGGACTTGCACGCTGCCCGGAGATAGTTCATCACATAACGCGTGATCGGATGGAGGCCGCCACCGGGAACTGCCACCTTTGCTGGGTCCCGGCGGATCAGATTTTTCAATTCCACGAATATGCCTCTGATTGCCTCCCCCAGTCGCTTCCACATCGTGAATGCTTCATTTCTCAAAACCAAACAGTACTGATCAGAAAACACTGACTCAAATTCAGGCATTAGATCCCTCATGGTTTCAAAAACGTCGAGAATCTTGAACAGTCTATCTGGTGCTCGGCTACCGATTGCGATTGCATCAGCGAAATTCAGTAGCTGAATTGCTGACCCTCGACAGACTTCCATAAATGAGAGATCGGCAGCCGAAGAGAAACCGAAGAAGACGCGATCACATAAGCGGCGTTCGCTGGGAAAGAGGATGCGGAGGAAAACGTTCGCCGCTTTCATCCAACGCTCTATTTCGTCCCCGAGGTCCTGCCATGGCATCCTTTGAACTTCGTCGATGCTCAGCTTCTGCAAACCCAGTCTTGACATGCTTTCTTCCAGAAACTCCCTTCGGCAACTGCTGTAAACGTGCGAGCACTCCTTCCCGAACCCGGCCGCCACCATGCGCTTCGCAATCTCGTGCAGGTCGTTTATAGTCCCCGAGGGCAGCGCGTCGATCACGATGTCGTACTCAGTGAGTGGCTGCGCTACGGGGATCTGGCGATTCTCACCGCCATCATCATCTTCGCCGTCTTCGTCCTCTGAGTCAAGCGGCGAGTTTCTAGCCGAACCGCTGGGTTGAGCCAGGTCAAAAGACTCGCCGGCTCGTTCCATCAGTGACCGGAACTCGTCCTCAACACGAAACATGGCCTGCTGCACGAGGTCCTCGGCGCGTAAAAGGCACGCGCCAACTAATTTATCCCCTCCCAATGGACTCCAGTCCCTGATAGTGGCAATCAACTCGTCGATGGCATCGAGAAAGGCTGATGAATCGGCGGAGTCGGACCAGATCGGCTGATCGGCGGCCACGTAGCGAGAGATCTGTCGGTCCAGTAATTTGAGTGTCCGCTCGAGCGCGGCGCAGCCGCTGGGCCCCTCTTCCCCCATTTTATCAGACAACTTCTCGCGAGAAAACCTCCCATCGAAGTTTGAGAATATCTGCAGAATATCATCAGCCATAGTGTCGTTGTGGCCCAAAGTCTTGGCTATGTGGCGCGCCACAGCCAGTAACTTCTCTTCACCATTTTCAGCCATCACCACCGGTCCAAAAACTAAATAAACACACAGTGACGAGAATCTGTCGCGTCGTCAGCCTTAAGTAAGCTCATCAAAGAGAAGCCTCGGACCCGATGACGAAATCAGTCTGCGGAAAGCAAAGCGAAGAGGAAAGTGAGGGAGAGAAGGAAGAGGGGATGAGGATGAGGATGAGGATGAGGATGAGGGAGCAGTGGAAAAAGACAGAGAAGTCCCTGGAGAACGCGGTTTGGCGTTGAATAAAGAAAAGAAGGAAAGAGAAAGGAAACGCGGGAAAAGAAGAGAGAAAATGAAGCAACAGAAAAAGAAAAGAAAATTAAATTAAATTAAATTTAAAATTTTGGAGACTGAAAGGGACGGGAACGTGGAAAAAAGAAGAATGGCAGTTGAGTTGTTTATAAATTTTTTGAAACAACTTTTTCTACTTTTCTTTTTTAATTTTTTTTATTTTAAAAAAAAAAAAAAAAAAGTAATAATTCAAGAAGTTACGAAATGGGATTTGGTTCCAATTTCCGATTCCTATTCCTTTGAACTGGGTGTGTGGCTCCACTTTCAAATCAGAGTAATTAATTAATTAATTAAAAAATAGACAATTAATATATAAATTAAACTTCATTAATTGAGATTATTCTTGTAGTCAGCTTAATGAAAACAGAGTACGAAATTATAAATTAATTTAGGAAAAGTTAAAAGAGAGATATATATATATCCCTTTAGTCCTTGTCGTCATCGGGCCTAGTGCGGGAAGGACCAATTTTATAAGCTGTCGCACCATGAATCTTTGTATAACAAATATTATTATGCCCTCTACGACATGTTAAATTTTCTACTTCGTTAAGGTAGTCGTAGTTATAAAATATATACCGAGGTCATCGGTTAAATTAGTAGCACGATTAAATTTTATTCCTTTAATGACTATGTTTTTATTCTTTCATTAAAAAATAAAATAAAATAAAATTTAAGATTGGAGTACGGAACAGAAGTCTATTGCATAGTTATTTGCATCTTTTAATTACTCATTATTAAAAAAAAAATATTATAAGAATAATTTTACAGCTTAATTGATGGTAAATAAAAGTTTTTAATCCCTATATAATATTAATAAAACTGATTTTTCTCACCCTTTTTTTTTTCAAATATTGTTTTTTTAATATGTTCATAATTTTAATTCGAAATGAGTGATTACTGATTTTACTCGGAAATTAATTTTAAAAAATAATTTTGATTCTCTGATTCTACCAAAAATTCTGAAACTTAAAAACCCAATAACTAAAAATTCAAGCTAAAGGAATCTTTTAGATTCATCACGAGACCAATCACAACCGTCCATCTCATAAGCAACGGTTCTAAACAATTGAACTTACCTTGTTTCTGAAACACTGGATCAGCCCCTCTACGTATATATCGGCTCACCACCTTCTCCAAAGTCAACAGTATCTCTTGCTTTTTTTCTGTTCTCTGCAAGATTCAGTCTCTTCTCATTTCTCAAGATCCGTCTTTCTTATCGTTTCCCTGAAATACCCTCCTTGTTTTATGGCAATGCCACTAATGTCCTCCCCTCCTTTGCTTCCCGTCTCAGCACCGGCTACCACCGCAACTGCTACCACCAACATCCAATCCACCACCGCAATCTCTCTTTTAAGATCCTTCCTCACGCGGCTCACGGCATATGTGCGCCACGCACTCTGCAACAGCCGGCCTTGGACCGAGCTAATAGATTGGACCGCATTCTCCAGGCCGGAGTCACTCTCCGATGGCGTCTCGCGCGTTCGAAAGAACTTCTCCTATTTCCGGACCAACTACATGATCCTCCTAGCTCTCCTACTCGTCGGCTCTCTGCTCACGCATCCATTCTCTCTCCTCCTGCTCCTCTCTCTCATGGCAGCATGGCTGTTTCTCTACGCTTTCCGGCCGTCGGATCAGCCATTGACCCTCGGCGGACGTACGTTCTCCGATCACGAAATCCTGGCGATATTGTGCACGCTGACATTGGTGGTGATCTTCCTCACCAGCGTGGGATCACTTCTCATGTCGACAATTATGATTGGGCTGGCAATTGTGGCGGCACACGGTGCGTTTAGGATTCCGGAGGATCTGTTTCTTGGGGAGCAAGAGGCGTTTGGATCTGGATTGTTCTCACTTGTCGGTGGGGCAGCTTCGTCTGCTGCCGCTGCAGCACCTGTGATAGTGTCGCACGTCTGAAGCTTGAAACATTAGAATCAGAGGAGCCGGATGGGTATATTGATTGGCAGGGGAATTAACAAATAAAATTTGTGTGTTCCACTTTCTCACTTGAGCTAATGAATGGATTGTAAGTTGTAACTGAAATTTCTTTCTAATGGAAATGCAAACAATTCTTACTGATCTATTAACTGATACATTTCTAACACTATCTTTAGATTATATATTTCATTTTACTCAAGAGAAGAAGAGAGATGATACATTAGTATCACCATCTCTTTTTAAGAAAAATAAATAATTACTAACTATTTTTTTATTTAAAGATGTTAGAAAAATATATTCTTTTTTAGAAAAAAAGAGTTAAATATAATTTTTTTAATTCATTATAATTATCTTAAATAAAAAAAATATAACAGTCATAAAATATTATTTTCAATCGAACATAATAATCAATTAAAACAAAATTTAATTTAATTACTGTAAACTCGTCAATATATTAATTAATTAAATTCTTAATTTAAAATATTAAACATTATAAATTAATCACTACTAATTCGTAATACTTTTAAAACTAAAATAAAATTTTATATTCTCAATTAAATTCATGGTAACTTTTAAACAAAGTAAGAATCTTAATAAGTAGAAATAATATGTGAAAAAAGAAAATGTCAATTTTTTTTTTCCATTTATTTCTAAAAGTTGAACATGATTTCAGCTATCAAATGGAAGAACGTGGACAAATTGAATTTGTAATATTCCAAGTAGCAGTTAATTACAAATGATACATAATATTTAGTTGCCGACTATATTAAAAGGACACGAGTATGTAACTGGGTTCTGAGAATATTATAGATATACTAATTTAGGTGCTGATGATTTAATATACTTTTTATACTTTTTACTTGGAAAGAAAAAAACAAAGGATACATATGATGAGCATGTAGTGTTTCCAAAGTTAGTGATTTAATATACTCTGGGTACCTGACGGTATTAGATACCATATCACCACTTGGTAACCAATGTTAGTGCCTAGAAGTTTGCGAGTATGCTAATCTAGTGTCAGGAACCTGGCCTAACATTTTAGGAGAAGAGGAGAGCTGAGCTGATTTTGGGAGGAGAAATGTTGAAAATGCACAAGAGAAAGAATAAGTTGTTGACGACAGAAGAGTTGTAGTAACTTTCAATTAAACTTCCCCTACCTGGATTACTTTCCGCTCAACCCTATTTATTTCCTTATGCCATATATTAGTAAGAATTGAAGAGACAAAAACTAAAGAAATAGCAATCCCATATCTTCTAGTATCCTGACATTTAGCTAACCAAACTGGGCTATACATTAGGTCTTGTACCCAACTCTTAACTCACACGCAAAAAATATGGATTCTTTCTTTACTGACATACAATTAAAACAGAACAAATCCAAGACCTTCCCGCCTAAACATGCGAATACATTAAAACAGTTAAAACAGAACACACCCCAAAATTTTCCTTCTAAAGGTGGATTGTAGGGGAGTACATTCACAAAGCGTTAGTGAGATTGGGATTATTCAGGAGGATACTGAGTACTACGCAGCACCAATGAAGATATAAATGTCAAATAATTTGTAAGATTCCATGTCCCTCTTTCTGTATCTCCACCATGAAATCAGCTATTGCTCAGTTAAAAGTTTCCCAGTTACCAAACATGTAGCAACCAATTGATTTACAAATATTAACCGAAAGTTTTCAAGGCCGTGTAACTAACAATTTTCTACCAAAATACAACTTTATCTGAAACTTAAAACCTACTAATAGCTCAATTTTCCTCATTATTATGAATATAATTCTATTGATCAAAAGAAAATTAAAAACAAAACAAAAAAAAAGGATCAAAGCGAAGAAGAAGAAGAAGAAGAAGAAGAAGAAGAAGAAGCTGAGAGTTTGAATATACAACAAAGCAATTAACTGCTCTCTCTAGCATATCCGCTAGTTTCCTCTGCAACCTTCCCCCAAACATTTGCAATTTTCTCAGCATATCCCACCTGTTCGATTCACAACAAGCTCTTCATTACGAGAGAGAAACAGAGGTAACATGTAATGATTTAAGGAGTCAGCTGCATGTTCAAACCTATTCCTCAAACTGTCAACACAGAATTGTCTACTGATAACTACAAGTTTTGCCATCTTCTGCTTTGTACAGCAACATTCAGAATCTCTTTTCTTTCCTTACATTAAATTTAATAGCAATTTATTTCCACCTACTGGCAACCAACCTACCAGTTAAGCTGGTAGGAAAAAGAAGTTTACAACATTGGGAGAAACGTAGCACACAGATAATAAGAGCTCATCATTTCATCAATATCAGCCACTTTCAACTTGCACGAGTGACAAGAGAGGAGAAAACATAGCTCACTTTTAGATGTGTGAATTATGAAAGAAAAGAAATCAATTCATATAGGGACTACATTCAGAGAGCCTTCTCTCGGAAGAGGATAGAGGAAAAGACAATAACGAAAACATTAATTCCCTCCGTCCCCTCTCTCCCTAGTCAACTCAAATAATATTGCCAACACTGAAAATCAATCTTTAAGTATTTGATAGGGCACTCACAACACCAATATCATTTCTAATATCCAGTAAATTTAGGCACTTATGCTTCAATCTGAAGCATATTGGACCAATGACCCCAACAAATTGAATATGAAGTTCATAGAGATCAGCACCGAGAAATCCCCCTCATCAAGCACCGATTCCCAATGAACAAACATACCCTGACTGTAACCCAAGAGCACCTCAAAAGATGCTCAAGCGAGCACTTTGTGTACAACCCAGAGATGAAAGAAGAAATTCCATTGAGGATATAAGAATCAAAGTAAGCAAGAATGAAGAACTCATCATGCGCCTGCCACTCAAGAACCTACAACAACAATAAATGTCAAAAATGCGTTTACAAGGCACTAAGAGGTAAAGGTCATGTTCTTTCACATTAATGCGGAACAGCCATTTTGCAAGCATCTGGAATGTCAATCTGGTAATCTAGCTTGTTTCACACATTCGGAGAGAAAAAGATTTCTACATTCTGATATATAAGTCCATTCTTCCAGCTTGCTTGAAAAGCTCATTATCACAGAGCATGAATCTGGAACATTTACGGAGATAACAGTCTTAATAAATCAAGTTGCATTCTAGTGCACTAAGCTCCTTGGTAATTGCAGATAACCTATCTTTTAGGTTTCAGTTTAGGTCACTCTTTCTCAGGATATTCCCACCACGTAAAGTTAAAAAAGAGTAACAAGAATTGAATGTAATCTTCCTTCAGGTGAAGTAAGATCTTTAGTGATCCAACTCATTTCAATTTCCTTAAACCAAAACTTGGCCATATACAAATGCTTGCAACAGAAAAGATCATGGCTCAGATGCCGCATATATTCCCAGATGAGTTATACCATGCCACCAAATTGAGAAGAGAAGGATTAAACATACCTGATTAACTACAAAACCCTTCAACATATTCAGGAAATCAGAATGTCTTTCCTTGTCAAGCCTCTCAAGTTCAGTCCTGTTATTTTCCTGCATCACGAAATCAACTCAGATTGCTGAATCTAACCATATATTGCTATACAACAGTTCGCTTCAGTGTTACTCCAATAAAAAAATAAAAGAAATTGAAGGGATCGTTGGAACATCTAGAGCATGCATCAGAATACAAGTTAGTTTTTAGTGAACTCCTATGAGAAGCAAACCTGTGTCGCAAACAACATCCAAGGAGAAACAACTAAAACATGAACAAGCAACAGTGATATATGGAAGCAAAAGTGAATTCAAAACTAGGCAGTATCTATTAGAACTAAATATTAATATTCACATATCGTCATGATCAAGGACACCAGACTGGAGGTCAAAGCACTTAATATGCAAGTTCCCTGTTTAGTTTATGCAACCTGGAGACAAACTGAAAAGTCACATACAAACATGGAGGGAGAGGACATGGAATAGCCAGGTCATTCATAGAAACCTTTGCCTGCCCAGGTATAGAAGTTAAAGAGGCATCCCAGTATACACATAAAGTTACTTGCTGCAGGTAACCAAGATTTAAGCATCTACCTCCTAAGCATATGAAGACCCAAGAATACGGAACACTGCATAGCCCAAGGCCAACCTAGAAAATAAAACCTTAACCACCCAGCTTCATGATAAATAACGTGTGATCTTTTAGTACCCATTCAAAATCGTCATCAATAACAAATATGTTGTTCGCGTGTCAGCTTTATCCTACATCTTTGTTTTCTTTAAAGCTCCATTTACACCACTCCTTATTAGGGTTTCAAATGAGGTTTACAATAAGTATCTTTTACCCTTATTTGCATGTCCTGGATCAAGTGAATATGACAATGATTGATCTTCTGCGTCCTATTCTGTTAAAATTTTGTCATGACACCACGTATTTATTACGTAATCCTTTCTGTCATGATTTCTGAGGATAATAAAAAACTTTTCACTTACCGTCTGGAGGTGTATTTACTGTTACATCAGATCTACTTAGATGTATTGTCTTTAAAAAGAAAAAAAAAAAGATCCACTTGGATTTAGTGGACTCTACTGTACTTCAGGAAATTGATTCTGTTCAACAAGCAACCACTAAACCAGCAAGGACGAAAACCTCAGATCAACCACCAGGTGTCACGAGGGTAACACGATTAGAAATATGATGCTGGTCAAGCTAAATCAAGTACTAGAATATTGGCGATCAGCCCATGCACTACCCATTCACAAAAAAACAAAAAAGTTGGTAGACCGAGACAGCCATTAAATCAACAATTACCCCAAAAAAGAGAGATTTAGCTTGAATTTAGATATATTAAATTAACTCTACAAGACTTTATCCATAGTACCTTGATCCGCTCATATTCTCTAATGGCAACATTTTTGGCATCCTCTGTAATCCTGATAGTTTCTTTGAGCTCCTCTATTTTGCGAATCCTTGACTTGTCACCACCAAAAATTTTTGAAGATGCCGCTTCAAGTTTTTCAGCCCTTGAATGCAATGAAGACAGTTCTGATAGAAGCGTCTGCACTGTCAATAAAGCACTGGAGCGATCCGAAAATGCACCATGGACAGCTAGCATTAAACCAAGATATTCATGGAGAGTGTCCTGCATCTCGCATAGATAATATAATAATCACAAAACTCATATTTTGAAAGCCAATCAAGACCAACAGGCAACGAGTTTACTGTGAGTTTGGGGAATTGGCAAAAGCTGCTAGCCTGATAACTTGGTGATTGCTCAAAATAAATTGTTTCAATGAATGAAAACATAAATGCACATTGCAAACTAGATTAAGTTGAAAACCTAATTTATAGTAAAAGTTTGACATGGTTAGATTTGGGCAAGCTCGGAGAGGTACTGCTAACTTTTCTTGGTTAAAAAAAAAAAAGACACCCCTGCCCAAACGAGATCAATAAAGGAAAGGATTTTCCTAAACGACAGCAAGGGTTGTGTAGCTTACCAAATGTTTCACGGTCTGGGCATTCAGTTCTCGGTAAAATCTGCTCGCTTTAACAGCTGCTGTGGCCAAACTCTTCATATCAGCAGCACGAACTCTCTGAGAGTTGAACATAGCCTCCTCGTTCTCAAACTTTGTCAGTTTAATAAAAGCTAGTCCTAACTCTCCCATTGTCTCCCCCATGTCTTGCTGTGCTTTCACCAATGATTCAGCCTGCAAAACCCAAAACGAAAATTGCTATAAATACAGATACTCACGGATATAATCAACGAGAATTAACTATCTGATTCCTGAAAAACTAATCACCTGCTGAGAAGCATTGCTGAGTTGTTGCTCAAGATCATGCATCCTCTCTTTCTTCTCCAAAAATTCTTTATCTTCCTCAACAACAGGGGGTTTTGTCCCGCCCCAATCATTTGCAACCGATTGCTTCAACTCCTTGAACAAACGGAGTAAGTCCCTGCCCCCTTTGGCGGGCTGCACAACCTCGTGGGGCGCCACAACAGCAGTGCTCTCTCCGAAAAGTTGCTTTGGCAGCTTCACCGCGCCATCTAGCATCCTTGAGGCCACGTCCGTGCTCGTGGGAAGCGGCAGCTTCCCCTGCACCTGCAAAAAGACCTTTAGCTCGTCGCTCTTCCCGATCACAGGGTGAGCCGCGAGCCTCCTCAGATACTTCTCCAATGCTACCCTCCTCTGCTCTACGAACTCCTGCTTCTGCATCACCTGACTCTCCACGACATTCTTATCAGGTCGAGGTGGAATACAGAACCCTCGGTACGATTCGGCCAGCCGATCTGACAGAGTCACCACGTCCCGGAACCGCCTCCTCACGCTGAATTCGGATCCGCCAAACTCTGGAATGTTCGTCCTTGTCGTGATTAGGTATGTCACATAGGTGTTCCCACCGGGGACGATCGAGTTCGTAGTTTCCTGCTCCTTTTGTGGATTCGAAACCGTGATCTTCAAGTAATTCGAGCTCGAAGACGGCGACCTCGAAAGGGAAAATGGCGAGTCCGACGACTGAACAGGGCTATCGGAGCCGTTGATCTCGCCGGCGGAACTCTCGTCGAACGGGCTGAATATGACGTCGGCATAAGAAGGGGGCTCGATGTAAGAGCCGTCGTGATGGTGGGCGCTATGGTCGCGGAGATCGCCGTATGGTGAGGGCGATAACAAGGGATCAGAGTCAGCGGGACCGACGAGGATGGGAGGCGATAGCGGGTGGTGAGTCTCGGCGAGTGAAGACGCGGCGCTCCGGTAACTGCCATAAGACTTGCCGTTACTGTCGCTGGTCAATGGCTCGTCCTGGAGGACGAGATTTTCCATTTCTTCTCGCGAGGCATAGAGTTGGGCGTCTTCAAAGCCCTGGTTATTCTCAGAGCCCATCATCTTCTTTTATTCACAGCAAAAGAAAAATACAACGAATTCAGTGAAGTACAAGTTATTAAGAGTATAGAGGAATTAGGGTTTCGAATTTGGGGAAAATATAGTTTCACAGGGGAAGTGAAGATCAGTATGGAAGACGCTGCTGGTTCGCATGAGAAGAGTACTCAAAAGTCGAGGTGGCTAACGTACGCGGGGGGAGACAGGCTAGATGGGGGAAGAAGGATGGATCGATCACGAGCTGCACGTGGCCATGGATTTGCTACATAGAGACACGAGATAAAGCATAAAACTGCGAAGACGATGAGGAATTTCTTCGACTCATAATTTTTCAGTTGGCTTCTATCTTTGGAAAGTTTTGGGTAATTGAGTGCGTTCGGGCTCACGATATTACAGTGCAGCGCCGTCAACGTACGTTGATTGTTTTGACATCTACGATTCGTTTTTCTCCTCGAGAGGATATTTTCCACAATGAGAATAGGAATTTTTCAAAAAAATACATTAAAATCCTAAAATTGGTAATCATTAACTAAACATTTAGTAAATAAATTACTAAATTAATCATTAATCTTTAATAGGTACTCCACTTTCATTTTTATTGTTATTTTTATTATAATTTTATCCATAATACTTTTTATTTACTTCAAACGTTCAGGTTTTAATTTATTTTTTAATAAAAAATTAACATAATTAGACTACATTTTAATATCTCTAGAATTATAATCATTTTATTAATTATTAATTTAATTTAAAAAATTTTAAGCATCTAAAAATAGTTTAATCATTTAAATTTTTTTGTTAAAAAATATATATATATATATAATGTTTAAAATTAAAATATATATATTAAAAATCAAATTGTAAATAAAATGACTATAAATTAAATTATAATATGTGTTAAATGTCGTAAACTAATTTAATAATTTATCTAATAATATTATTATATATTTTTCTATAGAAAATATTTTATGATATTAGTTTTTAAATTATTTATTTATTTATAAAAAATATATAGGGATTCTTAAAAGAGTATTATGAAAATGAGTATAGTTTTTGAGAAATAATTAAAAATTACTTTAAGTACTGTTTTAATTTATTTTTTTTTTTATTTTTTTAATTAGTGATCTATAAATCCATCTTATTGTATTAGTTTTATAAATGAATACATATTATACTAAATAAAGGTCATTTATTAAAATATTAATATAACAAGTTTCCACATCAATTATTCGCGCAACTATAAATTTAAGATTAACAATATCATTCACATGTTTTGTGCAGTTCTGTATAATTGTTCATGTATATAAGTACATAACATTTATTACAAAAAAAATATTATTTAAATTTGCCATATTTAATGTCTCTTGATTTATAAATTCGGCTGTTTAATTTATTTAAGTCAAAATTTTATTTATTATTTGCATAGAAATATCAGTAATTACTAAATAAGATTATATTTAACTATATTTCATTATTTTTGTTGCTATTGAATTTTAATGCTATATCCATAGGTATAATCTTATAATAAAAATAATAGAAAATTATAATAAAAATTTATAAATTATTATTAAAAAATTTATAACTTTATAAAGGTATAGTTTTAAATTATCCTTTAATTTTATTCTTTTTATAGAAAAACATCAATGTACTTTTAAAAAAAATAATAAATATACGAATTATTTTATAATATTTATCATTTGTTATATTTTGGTATATAGTCTATTTTCATTATAATTTGATCATCGACATTATACATTTGTTTCAGACATATAACTTCCATTCAAATAGTGACACCCCTAAACATTTTTCACTATAGAATTATGTATTATTTATCATTCCACCCCCAAACACGATATTTATAATTTTCTAATCAAATCACACTTATCCATTAGTTCTACAAAGAAATCAATTATCATATAATTAATAACTCTATAATGAAAAAAACTATTCAGCTATCACCGTACACATAGAAGTTCTAACCTTATTCCAATATTGTAAGTGTACTACTATATCTTATCATGATTGAGAACATCTTACTACTTTTAAGCCCGGTACTTCGTTGCTTAGCTCTCCATTTATGGTTATCATCTCAAAGCATCTGAAATGAGAGTAATGAGTATGCATAACCCAATAAGATGAAATTTTGAAACTAAACTAATGAATGACAATTAAATGACCTTCCTCTTTACTATTATTTTTTTTATTTATATCATTATGTTTTCCTTCCTTTATAACTATTAAACAACAACATTACTCCCTTATAATCCTACATAACCCCTTACCGTTAGCCCCTTGTTATCCCAACCACATAACGGACCTGCACTCCACCCCTTTTATTTTAACCACAACAACTTACCAACTCGACACCATTCTGGTAGTCCTTACGCCACACCCATACACCCTCTCAATCAACCTTATTCCTATTATACCTCTCACCATGCACCGGCCCACCAAGGCCACACACGCACTCTCCCTGCATCCTGGTGCCCCCCTCAATAACAAACACAATCCTCATATTCGGCCGTTACATGGCCCCGTGTACCACTGCACCATAACATCAAATACACACCACTATTCCCACGACTACGACCATTGGATGGCCCCATCGAACTCCGCTAACGTCGGCCACACAACCTGCCACATACCTAACGACTACGAAGTGGCCATATATACAATATGTCACTATGCATCATATCGACACATCCATATTTGCAAGCATCGGCCAAAGGCCTTACACACACATAACGCATACACACGCACACACGTGCCATTAATTTTTACACCAGTATACCAGAATCCCTCAACATCGGCCAAGAGGCCTCCCACAATAAAATACATATACATATATACCACAGAGTACCCAACCTACCCATTGTATCATGTAAACCCCAATCCACTTATAGCTTCATACATACAGCCCACGAACCACCATCATTGCACAATAAAAGGAGTCGCCCTCTGCAAGTAGCCCTGCACACACACAACTGCACCTACACTCACCACCGATCATTGTTATCCATACTTATACCTATATAATAATGCATCTCACTCTCACAGTGACCTCACCCCTCGGTTACACACAACTCGTCATCCACAAGCTCCGTTTATGTCCTCACGATATCTCTCATTCACTCCTCTCCCTCACACAACCGACTGCCCACATGTATACCCCTCTATACCACTTACTCCCTCTCTTCCCTTCGACCTCGACCCCTCTCTCACTTCTTCAGTTAACATCACGCCTCTATTTCCATCTCATTGACGAGGAGCCTCTCCATGAATCTGTATACACAATCTCATTAGGTTTGCCATAAATTAGTTTAGAATTTTCAAATTTATCTTACCTCTTGCTTTCATCATTCTCTATCTCCCAAAGCTACTGCGACCTCACCTCCTTTCCGAACTTCTGAGTAGTTATCCTTCTGCACTCGTATTTGATTTCTGCATCTCTCTCAGTCGTTTCCCTCTCTCACTCTCGCCCTCTATGTTTTTCTCTTTCTTTTATTTCTTCTCCTCCTCCCCTCTCTCTGCTCGACGCTCCCTTTTTATACTTATCCCAAGCTCATATCCTATAAGTTGATTCCACCCATTCCATCCTAACCGTCCGTCTCACTCTCCCTCGCCGATCTAGGCTATTACACAAATAGTAATGGAAAAACCTGAAAAATATAAGGTTATATTTGGATAATCTTAAAAACATCTAAAAAGATAATGGTTGGCTAAGTCATATTTATTTTGTAAGCACTAAATAATTAAAATTTTGAAAAATACATACAAAAGAGGGAAAAAGAACGCATAAAATATGACTAAAAGAGTAAGCTTATGAAAATTGAAAAAAAATATATAAATAAAGTTTATGAAAACTATGCATATGATACAATTAAGTTCCTGATATTTAATAATGTTACAAATCAGCTATCAAAGTTTGTATTTGTTTCGAACTGCAATATTTAGTTTGTTTTTATTTTTTATAGTACGCGATGAAATGAAATCACGTTTATTTACAGTATAAAATTAGCTCATAAAGTCTTCAGTCAAGTTTCAAGTGCACTAAAGCAAACATAATTTATTTTCATTGTATATTGTGAAAAAGCAAAAATAAGTCTAATAGTATGGTTTCAGAAAAATATAAAATATTAAGAACTAACGTTGAAGGATTAACAAATATTGTGGACTTAACTGCTCATCTATCTATAGTTTAAGGATTAATTTAATATAATTTTAATTTTTTAAATAAATTATATACAACCACTAAGCTTGATTATGCATGAGTATCTTCAAATCTTATAAATCAATTATAAACTCAAATCTATTGCTAAAACCTACCTAAAACCTAATAAAATATCAAAAATCACAAATTTTTCACATACCTAAAATTATTAAACGTTGACTAAAAAGGAGATGTTCGGTTCTTTACGATCCCAAATTCTTTTATCGGTTCTTTTATGCTCCGATTTACATAAATTATAAAGAAAAAATAACAAAATTAGAAGTTATATCATTCTAAAAATATTAATCATGAAAATTCCCAATTTTCTTTTTCTTTCTATTTGGTTTTAACTTTTTCTATTTTTAATTTTTTGTCCACAATAATCACCCGTACTCTTGCTTATTTCCTTGGCGTGAAAAGTCATTGTTTTCGTAAACTTTAATTTCCACTTTTTTTTTTTTTTCTTCAATTTTTAGAAACTTCTTCTATTTTTTCAAAGTTTTAATTATTTTAAAATTCAAAATGAGTGTGACTTAGTCAGCCCTCATATTTCGAGCTCAAAATTATTTAAATACAGCACTGTATTTTTCAGTTTTTAATGTTACCGTCTTGATAAAAATTGCACGTTTAAAATATATGTATAATAAATAAATTAAAATATAATAAAAAATATCAGAAATTAAATTATAATAAGTAAAAAAATTTAAAAAATTAATTAATAATTTACCATTAGAAAAATTGGGAGGTAAAACAATGCGTGCCTTGACGTTCACGATTTTGCCGTGTTGTGCCGGGCCAATTTGTCAATATAAATTTATATTATCAATTATTAGCTTAACGCGATTATAGAGAAGGTTTTACTTTAATATATATATACTTTCTCACTACAGCCACTATATTTTATTTATAATGAACCATCCGAATTATATTAAAATAAATAGTATAAATACGATTATTATCCAAGTGAATAATTATATGTCACGTTTACAAAAAAATAAAATAAAAAAGAAAGGGTGTGAATAAATCAATCACGTCTATACTTATTTAAAAAAAGTTAAAACTAAATTTATTAATTTAAATAAATAATTTTAGAATAACTAAGTTGAACATAATTCAAAT